CCGAAAACCCTATTTGACTAGGCCAAAATACAAGGCCAAAAATATGACACCTGATATATATAAGAGACTTTATACAAACTTATGTATGAGATGGGTGAAGATGGGATTTGAGGTTTAAGGGCAGAATTTACCTACCTCACGATTCTGAGTGAGAGAGACACTATTGAATATATTGCGGCCTGTCTGACTTGTCAGAGGGCTAAGGTTGGGCACTAGAAGTTTGGTGGTTTAATTGTAGATGATGAAGATCCTGTAGTGGAAGTTGGATAGTATCACTATGGATTTCATTGATGGGTTGCCTAAGTCGACTAGGAATACTGATGCTATTTGAGTTGTGGTTGACAGATTGACCAAGTGTGCACATTTCTTACTTGTCAATATCAAGTGATCCTTGAAGAAGTTGACACAGTTGTATGTGAAGGAAATAGTACGGTTGCACGGGGTGCCTTCTAGTATTATTTTAAATAGGGATCTGAGGTTCACTTCCAGATTTTTGGCAGAGTCTACACCAAGTCTTAGGCACGAGGTTGAGGTTGAGTTCTGCTTATCATCCACAGACGGATGGTCAGTTAGAGAGGACAATTCAGTCCTTGGAGGATTTGTTGAGGGCTTGTGTGCTAGACTACTTAGGGAGTTGGGAGGAAGTCCTACTATTGGTGGAGTTCATGTACAATAATAACTTTCATGCTAGTATTGGGATTTGAAGCATTGCATGGTAGGAAATGTAGGACTCCTCTGTGTTGGTATCAAAGATGGTGAGTCGGTAGTCGCGGGGCTAGAGTTAGTTTTATAAACTATTAAGGAGGTGAAATTGATTCAAGAGAGGATGAGGTTTGCCTAGAGTAGGCAGAAATCATAAGTTGATAGAAGGCAGAGGCCTTTGGAGTTTTTTGGGAGGGGCATGTGTTTCATGTTTCTCATTTAAGGAAGTACGTTCATGATCCAAGTTATGTTGTAGAAATGGATGAAGTTTAGGTTAGGGAGAACCTAACTTATGAGAAGAAGCTTGTAGTTGTAGTTGATTATAAGTTGAAGGAGTTGAGGGGCAAGTCCACTGAATTGGTGAAGGTTCTTTGGGATGCAGCTACTGGTAAGGCTACTTGGGAAAATTGGGCAGCAGTGTAGAGAACAGTATCTTTCTTTATTTCCAAGTAAGTCTATTTTCGGGGACGAAAATTCCTATTTGTTGGGGGGTATTGTAACATAGTTAGTAGACTGGAACGGGGAGTTCCCAGATTAGAACGGATCATTCTAAACTACTAAAATAAGAGTGATTTAGTAGCTTAGAACGGGTCGTTCCCAAACTGGAACGGGCCGTTCCAAACTACTAAATAGGCCTATGAATCTACGAAAATTCCTATTTGTTAGGGGGTATTGTAACGTAGTTAGTAGACTGGAACGGGGAGTTCCCAGATTGGAACGGATCATTCTAAACTACTAAAATAAGGGTGATTTAGTAGCCTAGAACGGGTCGTTCCCAGACTGGAACGGGCCGTTCCAAACTACTAAATAGGCTTATGAATCTTGAACTGGAACGGGCCGTTCCAAAATGGTCATTGTGAGTTAAATTCAACTCTAGAACAGGCCTTTCTGATTTTAGAACGGGCCGTTCTAGACGTACTAGAATGGGTCGTTCCGATTTCAGAACGGGTCATTCTGCATGTAAATTTTACATATGATGAAGGAGCCCAGAACGGCCCGTTTCGGATTTAAAACGGGCCATTCTAGCCACTTCAGACTTCTATAAATAGAGGTTGTGGGCAATTGAGGAAAATAGAGATTTTAGAGAGAAGTTTTATAGAGAAAGACTTTGGACAAGAAAGCTATTTTTGGAAAGTTGAAGTTCAAGAGTCAAGTTTTGGAGGATATTTCTTCTTCTTCTTCTTCCTCTCAGATTCTTGGCTTTTAGAGCCAATTTTCAGGTAAGGGAAGCTAGATTGTAAAGTTGTTGGTTGTATGTGAGTTGAGAACTCATTTGGGTGCTTAGGTTGATTAGTATGAGTTGTGTTATGTGATGAAAATATTGTGTGTTGCTAATATATGATTAAATATTTATTAATGATGTTGTTGGTGATGTTTTCATGATGAAAATGGAATGTAAATGAGATACATATTGTAGTTAAGTTGTGAAGTTGTTTACAAGTTGTGTGTTGATCTATGATATTGTTGAAGCTAGTTGAAATTAAGTTGTTAAGGTTGCTATATGTTATGTGTGGACATGTTTATATTGTGAAATATGATGAGATGTTATTAGTAGACTGTGTTGTCAAGTTGTTAGAGGAAAGTTGTATGTTGCTATAAAGTTGTATGTTGTGCCATGTGTTGAAAAGATATTATCTTATGATGATTGAGTTGTAAATTATGAGTTGAGCTAATAAGCTGTTGAGTTTATTGTGTTGTTTAATGTTGAAATGAGATGTTGTGTTGTTAAAATGTGTTGTTAAACAATGTTGATGAGTTGAAAGTTGATTGAGATGATGAGTTGAAAGTTGTGTGTTGTTTAAGTTGAAAGTTGTGTGTTGTTTAAGTTGTTAAGCTGAGCTATGCTGTTGAGTTGTAAGCTGATTCAGTTGTGATGATAAGTTGTTGATCACTAGGACTAGAGGGGATGTTTTCGAAGTTTCTCATCCCATTGTGCGAATTGAGATAGTTGTGGTGCTCTGAGAGCCCAATTTGTTGAAAACCCTCCTTGGAAAGTTGTCCCTTGGAGTGGACGTTGTGTTGTTCTCCTCTAGGACTTAGTTGATCTCGTGTGTGGGCAAGGTCGAGGCACATGTGTATAAAGCGACCACGGTATAAGGGCAAGGTCGAGCTATACCGATTATAAAGCGACCACGGTATAGGAGCAAGGTCGAGCTATACCGATTACAAAGCGACCATGGTATAGGGGCAAGGTTGAGCTATACCAATTACAAGCGACCAATTTGAGTAAAGTACGAAGTCGGGAACTTAGTTCCTAACCGAGTACTATACTTCCTTGTTTAAGTGGCAAAGTCTGAGAAACCATTATCGTGTTGTAGATTGATATCCAAATTTTTTGTGTTGTCGGTTCGGTAGGACCTAGCCACTTAGACTACTTACCACGTTGTAGGAGATCTCCGAGTTGAAATGCGTGACGACGCATAAGTTGTTGATGAGTTGATTTGTTGTTGATATGAGTTGTATATTTTTTGTTGTGTTGTTAAGCTGTGATTGTGTTGTATGTTGACCTTGTTGAAGATGATGATAGTGTTGTTACGTTGTGAGTTGCTTTTAAACATGTGTTGTTGAGAGATGCGCAATACATGTGTTAGTTGTTGTTATGATGAATATGGTAATTATTCCAATGGTTTGTATAGTAGTTGCGTTGAAGTGTTGGTATGTGGAACCAAGTTGAAATGATGTTAAGATGTATAGTATATATGTTGTTTGTCTCATGTGTCGAATGTGAAGATGATTATATAGTTGTTATGTTGAATATTAAATTATTATGAGTTGTTTATTGTCTCTAGCTTACCTTTGCATGTTTTCATGTGGTTTGAACTGCAATGATCATACGTTGTATGGGAGAAGAGCAGGGATAGATTGGAGATAGCTGCTAGAGGCCACAAGAGGTGCTTGGAGATGGATTTTTTTTTTGTAGGCTACCTTATAGTAGCATATTTTGTTGTATATAATTAGTTGCCGTTAGTTGCTTGATTAGCAACTTGTGTTGTAAATATTTTATTATACTATTTTAGTATATATATTTTAGTAGTATGTAGTGTTGTTTCGTAGTGTGACGGTCATGGCGGGTCGTTACAAGAGATATTAGGCTTTTAATTAGTGACTCATAGCCCAAGATGAGCCAAGGCCCACTAACCTAAAAATGGGTCTAATCCTCCTGTGGTGTTCATGAATAGTCCATTTCTCTAGGATTTCTCAATGTGTCCCTTCTTGTCTTTCTTGATATGATTCCATCAAAAACTTATATGAAAAGACTAGAGTTTTCATTCATCCTAAAATCATGGTTGATGATACGCAAACACAATATATAATAGTATAATTTTATACGCCTTAACATGGTGGTAACCAGGCCGAATTAGACAAATTTAATTGCATTTCGTTTTATCATCACAACGCTGTTGCAACATTATTCATCCAGTTATTTTAAAATTAAAGCTTAAATTAAGAACTTTAAAAATCTATTAGAAGTCCGTTGATAGTTTTATTTTCAAACTAAAATATATATTTTACCACCCCACGTTTGATCTCGTCTTATTTTCAGATCGTTTCATTCATCTAATTTGACAAACGAGCTGAACATAGAAGTTTACAGCTTGGCAAGATTTGCTTACATGCAGCAGGCCTTCGATTTTCAAAGTTAAAAAGAGTATCATTTTTTCGGCTTGCTATTATGAAATTTGACTTATGGTGCGTTGGATGTTTTTGATTTCTATATTTTCTCCCGCTTCAGCTACTTTTAAATTTTCACGTCTCACATAAGAAATATAAAAAGACAAGATTTAGCCTATAATTATGCAGCATGTATGGGAAATGAAAGACAAGATTTAACCTTAGCCCTAAACACTGGACAATCACGCAGCACTTAACCATAAGAGGCAACCTCAGTCTAAATTTTGTGTATGATCAATTTATATTCAATTGGAATTGACCAAATGGGATACAACTGAGGGTGTGACAATGGTGTTGAAACATTTAATTTCCCCCGTCAATCCCTACTTCATTTTCTCAAAAGAAACTTATCTTCTTTTTACTATTAATCTCATTACTGTGTTACCATTAAGAAAAATTGAGACACCAGTTACATTTATTTGATATATAATAACAACTCTTAATATATGTATTTTCTATTATAAATATTTGTACCATAATTTATCTTAATATAAAAATATCACTATAAAAAATATCAACCATTATATAGGGAATTAAGGGTGTCATTTAGGTGTACATACCTACTAAGATAAAAGAAAATGATAAAATGGAAAAAAACAAATCAAAAAAATATAAAACGAGTAAAATTAAAAGTATGGAATAATTAAATTGAAACAAGTTTGAAAGAACAGCATTGCAGTAGTACAAATGATTACTTTCTCTTTTTCCTATGTTTCCCTCCCCTGTTCTGATACACGCCCAAAACCAAAAAAATGGTCAAAATGACAGATCACATTGCAATAATCCAAATAAAATAAATCGGGGCCACTCTACACAGTACCTAATAATTGAGATTTGAGAGACTTCCAATCCTTGTTTCCATTTTTCTCTCTCAACAATTAGGACAACAGTGAGAGCCACGTGTAGCGTCAAGAAACTCATCCGAGAACACTACACGACACCCTATCCTTGGTAGCAACAGAATCAACCTCTGACACTACAAAGTTTTCACCAGCTGTGACCCCACAACTACAACTACGTCATAAAACACCAATTCTACTTCTATCCTACGTGTCAAATCCACCCTGCATTGTCAAAAAGACTTTGACATCACCACCTGTGTTCACCACACCGCCACCTCCGATCCCGAGTTCTTCACTCGAAGCAAACACTCAGAATTGTCCATACTCATTCACCAAACCGCAAAAGAAAAGAAATGTTCCTTTTTTCTCTTTTCCATGCAGAAAGAATTCCATTCCAGCTAAGAACACCACAACCTGGACCTACTGTATCGGTTCTAATTTCTAAACCAATAAAACAAAGTCAAACTTTGGAACCACATGCATGCTGTATCCACTTAACTAAAGATTAATTTTATGCTAGAGGGTAGAGACTAATCTCCGTCTTGTAATGTGCTGACCTGATGAGTTTTCGATAATTTCTCACTAAAAAGATCATTCCTAACATATGAATGTAGAATATCTCTGACCACTACGTAAACTCGTCAAATTAACAAACCTTCTCTTTCTTGTCACACCGGAGAAGGTTGCGTGGTGGGTGCAGCAGAGGACGCAATATCTGGTCCAACACGACACCCTTCGAGCATGAACACAATGTCAGACATTGTTGGTCGATCAAGAGGATCTGGCGCAGTGCAAAGCAAACCCACTTTCACACCCAGCAAGAACTCTTCCCATTCCGAAGATTCGGGGTCCAGTTCAAACAAACCAGGCTCTAGCAGCTCCGTGATTTGCCCCTTCTGCAACTGTTTCTTCACCCACTTCACTATATCCTCCTCCTGCGAGAACATCACTGGCCTCTTCCCAGTCAGAAGCTCCAGCAACACGATGCCGAAGCTGTACACGTCACACTCCTTCGTGGCTTCCCCTGTTAACACCACCTCTGGGGACACATAACCCAGTGTCCCAACTGAAGCACTTGAACTCGACGCTTCAACTGGGTTCGACAAGGTTAATTTTTCTAGCCCGAAATCTGATAAATGGGCTTCGAAATCCGCATCAAAGAGAACATTTTGGGGCTTGATGTCACCATGGATAAGTGATGATTGGTGCAGAAACGCTACCCCGCGTGCGATTCCTAGTGCAATGAGGTGTCGCATTGGCCAATTCAGAACATGGCCATCAAGGTGAGAAGCTTCTTGGAGCAACGTTGCGAGGTTTCCATTTGGCATGTAGTCGTAGACCAAGAGTCTTGTATCTGGTGGGCCAGCGTAGTAGCCTCTGAGAACGGTTAGGTTTCGGTGCCTGATTTTCCCCAGCGATTCAGCTTCTTTTCTGAACATGTTTTCGTCTAATGAACCATCATGGAGCTTGCGGATGGAGAGGACCATTCCGTCGTTGTAGCAGGCTTTGAATACTAGGCCGTGTCTTGTTCTGCTTAACACGTTCTCTTCGTCGAATTGCCTCGTGGCTTCGATGGTTTCGGCGAGTGTGATTTTGGTGTTGAACATGACGAGTTTTGGCCCGTTGGTGTCGGTGCTACTGCGACCTTGGCTCGTTCCCGAACTCGTTCTAGGGCTCTTTTTTTTCTCCCCGGACACTGCTGCTTTGATCCTTCTGCGCCATCGGAGAAGCGTGAAGATGTAGAAGCAGCAACACAGTGCCAATAAGCAAGCTCCAACTGCGATGATAATGATCAACACTATTAACCTATTTCTCTCCCCACTGTCTGTCTCTTCGCACTTTCTGTCCAATGGCTTCCCACACAAGTTCTGGTTGTTTGAAAATGCAGAAGGGTCGTTGAATTTAGAACCCAGCATTGGTGGAATCTCACCTTCCAGGTTATTGCCCGAGACATTGAAGTACACCAAACCAGGGATCGTGTTTAGATTACTTGGGATTTCTCCGCTCAATTTGTTGGCAGAGAGATCCAGCATTGTTAGATATGATAGCTCTGCCAATGACCCTCGTATAGCACCAGAAAGTTGGTTGTGATCTGCTAACAAAACAGTTAACCGTCTGCATTTGAAGATATCCTCAGGAAAAGCCCCAGTTAAATTGTTACTACTCAAGTCGAGCACTTTCAAATGGGCAAGGCCAGAGAGATCCGAGGGAATGGGACCCCCCAAATTGTTTGATCCAAGCTCGAGAGTTTCAATGTCAGAGCAGTTTCCAATTTCCGGGGGAATCATTCCTGTGATGCGGTTATCAGACAGTGAAAGAACAACCAATGATCGAATAAAGCCATAGTTCTTAGGGACATGCCCTGAAAACTCGTTAGAGCTTAGGTTCACATATTTCAAACTGGTCAAGCTGCTAAAACCTTCAGGGATCACCCCAGACAACTTGTTCTCTTGAAGAGCAATAATCTGCAAACTTGGAAGCCCCGAAATCTCAAATGGCAATTCACCAGAGAGATTCTGTTTGCTCAAGTCAAGCGTAGTTAGCCTGAAAAGATTCCCCAAACTAGTAGGAATTTCTCCATAGAAACCATTGCCACTAAGATTCAGAACCATTAGCTTACTCAGATTCCCAATTCTCCCAGAAACATGACCTGAAAATTTGTTTCCACTAAGGTCTAGTATTGTCAAATTATTCAACCCCATCACCTCCTCTGGCATTGTACCATTCAATCTATTACCCCTCAAACTCAAGGTTTCAAGAGACGCAAGCTCACCAAAACTCACCGGAACAGAACCAGTGAAGTGGTTCCCGCCGAGAGATAAAACCTCCAACCCTGTCAGATTACCAAAAAACGAAGGAACCTCGCCGGAAAACCGGTTACCTTCAAAATCAACAACACGCAGGGACCTACATTTCACAATTTCCGGCGGAATCTTACCGGAGAAAGAATTGTTGGCCATCCTTAACTCTTCCAATTTCTCGTGTCTTCCAATTTCCGGCGGAATCTCGCCGGAAAGCGCGTTGCCGGAGACATCGAGAACCGACAACGTTTTCACGCTGGTTAACCACAGCGGAAACTTGCCGCGCACGCGATTGCTCTGAATATTCAAAATCTCAAGCGCGCTGAAACACGTGGCTTCCTGAGACCACGCGAAGTCCGTGAAACCGTTAAAACCTAACTGAACGATGCGAAGCGACGGCGCTGCGAGCGAAACGTTGCAGAAAACGGAAGCCGGGACGGCGCCGGTGAAATCGTTCTGCGCGAGGGACAGCACCTGAAGATTCGGCAGAGCCGAAATCGTCGCCGGCAATACGCCGGCGAGCGCGTTCCCTTCGACGCTCAAATGCACGAGCGAGGAACAATTCGCGAGCGAGGAAGGTAACGTTCCTCCGAGAAGGTTATAATCGAGCCAGAGGTATTGCAGATTCTGAAGCTCTCCGATTCGCGCCGGAATCAGGCCGGAGAATTTGTTGTACGACAGGTTGATAAGCTGAAGCTCGGAGATTCCCGCGACGGAGCTCGGAATCTCGCCGGAGAAGGCGTTCGCGGAGAGGTCGATGTACTTCAAACGGAGAGGTAGTTCGCTGGGGATTTCGCCGGAGAGGTTGTTCCCGGCGACGTTAAGAATCTGCAGTCCGGCGAGGTTTCCGATCTCCGGCGGGAGTTCCCCGGAGAAAGAGTTGTATTCTAGGAACAAAGCGCGTAGGAGCGTGCATTTCGAGAGCGCGTGGGGGATAGTGCCGTTGAAGGAGTTGGAACGAAGGCTTAGCCTTCGAAGCATGCGTAGGTCTGAAATGCGGTCACCGAGTTGGCCACTGAGTTGGAGACGAGGCAAGCGTAACTCAGTAACTCGGTCGTTTTTGCACGAAACGCCGCGCCAGTCGCACGGTGCTAACGGCGTTGACGGGTCCCAGGCGCTAAGCGCGCCGAGAGGGTCGTGGAGGTTGAGCTTGAACGACGTTAAGGCTTGGATCTCCGTGACGGAGCCGCACCGGGCGCAGGATAAGAAGTGTGCGCACAGTAGCACGAGGATGAGAAGGGTACGCATGGTTGTAATGGTAGTGCAGAATAAGAGTTTAACTTTAAGGTGTTAATACTTGTCGAAGGAAAGGAAGAAGAAGCATAGATGAACAAGTGCTAATGTGCGCATTTGCTTTTTCCAGATTCACTAAAACCTACACATTGAGATTCTCTCTCTCTCTCTATTCTCCGACTCTGTCTATAGTTTGTGTTTGGTCAGTAAAGCATGAAATAGGAATGCTGAAACCGAGTTGCTTCTCGTACTGCAGAAACTCTTCCCTTCCCTATCAGATTTTTTCTTTTTTTTAATTTATAATAATTGAACAAAATTCAACCTACAATTATCATTTCTGTTTTTATTTCAAGGCTTCGTTTGTATAGAATTTTACTAGTGTTTACTATTTTTAATTGTGATTCTATTTCAAGTTTTTCTCGCTTTTATCATGTGTATGTTTGTCAGTACTAAATAACATGATATTTTTTAACCCATTAATTTTTTTTTATGCTCCTATCTCTATCCTATTAAAAGTTTCAGCACTAAAAATCTACCACACTTTTATTCACTGCAGTTTTTTGATGAGGGCTTCTGAAAAAAGTGAACTGTGACCAGGCTAGGCTATACCCTAGGATCTGGTGAGTTTTTAATAACGTGATGCAAAAATAATTCAGTGGTCTCTCTCAACATAAATATTTGAATTTTATTTAAAATTTAGAGATATTTAATTTAGTTAGATATATTAATAATTCATGATTTGCCTAATGCGGTGGGTTTTGAATGAATGAATGGGCGTAACGATGTGATAGCAGGAATCATTGAGCTCTGTGTCTGTCTATCTTATCTTTGCATGTTTAACTTTCCCTTCTGTTTTGTTGTCGAGGGTTTTAATCAGTGCATCTAATTAATTCGTATTCTTTCACATCAATTTTAAATCAGGGTTCATGCCTCCCAACAAATTCTCTTGGTCCAATGGTAAACATGCATTGGGTCTCCCATGTTCCATTTTACTTTCCTTTTCTTCAGCAACTTCTGTTGTGTCTATGTGTATACCCTTTTATCCTAATTTCTAAAATGCATTCTTCTTGTCTTAATGCATACTTTAATTAATTTAAATAGATATTTTAATTACGTTTAACAATTTAAAATTAATTTAACATATATACTTTATTTAATCCACACTCTTTGATATCAAGTTTAAATCAAGTTCGATGTTTCCTAAGAAATTCTCTTGGTCGAATGCGGAAACATGCATGCATTGCTTCCTGATGTTTCATTTTACTTTTCTTTGATTTAATGTTAGGAATTTAGGTTGGATCTGATCTGCTACTTGGATTTCACGCTATTGGAGCTATTGTATGAATTAGAATGGTGACAAATGGTTCCGCCAAAATAAAGAACAAAGGGACGATGGTTGAATTTTTGAAGCGTGAGGTTTCAGACACATTTTACTTTTCTCGTACTTTATACTTTGATTTGATCCCAAAATTTTGGCTGGACGTTCAGTGTTCCCTTTAAAATGTTGAGTATGGTTCCTCTCTTTAGGTTTGAATGGTCAATAATCTGCTGAAGTTAAAAGCAGAAAGTGCCAGGTTTTCACTGTTACTCAGGCTTTTGAATCTATTTCGGCATAAAGTTCTCCTGAGAGGACCACAAATAGATAGTTTAGTTGAAAACTTTGACAATTCGAGGACAAGCCATACGATAAAGTTTCAAATCAAGGCAATGTTTTGGGTTAGTTTGGACCTGGGATTAGAGCTAGTAGAGTGAAAAACAACAAAAAGGAAAGAACAAAGGGAAAAGGGTCACTACTTTATTGTTGTATGCTACATGAATCTAGGCCAGACATTTTGCCAACCAAAAGGGTTTCAATTTGCAACATGATCCATTATGTTGTGATTGAACAAAAGGGTCCTGCCAGCAATAAATGGCCTGGCAATGCAAGAAAACTGTTGAGCTAATTAGAGTGTCCATTTGGTGCAGTGGTTGAGAAATGGAATGTGGTCTAGCCCTATACTTGATGCTTTTAATGTGTGTTATGAAAATGCTAGTGGTTAGAGAGGGCTAAAGCCAGAGTTTAATAAGAGTAGAGTGACAAGGTGATTGGCAAATTTATGGCATTCAATTTTACCTTTTTGTGTTTCTCTGATTGCCAATAGCCAACAGGTCATATTTTAAATGCTATCTTTCCATGTTTGGTCATCAAATGATCAAAGAATACATACTTCTTACCTATCGGACACTTGGAAAAAGTAGAACAACTATATTTTTTTTATAACACTCTTTATAAAATTATATGCTTTTTTAAATATTTTTAATATATAATTTCACATAATCATCTAATTACAAATTACTACTTCTACTTTTAAGATCCAATTTGAAATAATTATTTTATATATATATACAAAATCCAATTCATAATATTTGATATATTAATTATTTTATATTAAAATATTTTTAATTAAAACATATTTTTTTAATTTGTCAGGATACATTAATTATAGACTCTTTAAAATGTATAAATTATAATTGATTAAAAGAGTAAGCGATATTAATTATGAGAGAAAAGTAATATATGACATGATTTATAATTAGTTAAAAGAGATGTTAGTATTAATTAAGAGAGAAAAGTAGTACAAGGATAATTTTGAAAAAAAATATACAAATAAGATAAATTTATTATTATCAAATAAATTAACTACAGTTTGATAAATTGAATATTTGAATCTTATATATAGAAGTAAAAGTAATATTATTTATATCAAATTTATTAAATTTTTACAAATTTATCTTATTATATATAAAGTCTAAATACCTAATTCATCAAAATTAAATACATGTTTTTTATTTAATTCTATATGAAGAACGAGCAACAAAGCTACTATTTCCTTCTCCTATTAATCTTTGTAATATTTTAGATGAATATAATAAATATATTTATTATCTTAAAAAGAAAAGAGTTAAAATTTTCTCTATTAATTAAAGATAATTAATTAAATGTTGTATTATTTAAAACTCTTCAAATTTCACTAGTTAAGGTTCCATTTAGGGTGATTTTTTACTTTTTAGTTTATAGTTTCATTCTTTTTTTACTTTCAAATTTTAAATTTGTTGTTAATTATATATTTTTTTTAAAAAATCTTTAAAAAAAATGTAAGGCTTTCCAAATGAGACTATGATGAGATGTAGAAGTATAATAGGATGAACAAGAAAATATCTAAATTTTTATGGGTTTTTATGAGCTAAGTCCAAAGCAAGTTAGAAAGACACAATTTTAATTTATACTTTTATTTTAATAGACGAGTTTAGGCCTAACTAGTCGAGAGCTCGATGCAAATCATATGATAATGATATAACATTTGGGCAAAAAAGCCAATATTTAATTCAATATCTTGAAAGAAGACCTAAGATGTTGAAAAACCAATTATTACAAGCTTTGCAGAATAAGTATAGACAGAGAAATGATTGGATTAGTAAAAAATAAAATAAAATAATAATTCGTACTCAAAATCAAATGTCATAGCCTTTCATTTCACTAGGCAAGTTCAAGTTGGATTGGACGTGAGCACGATAAAGGTTGAAAATTATAGCAAGCCAAACAAATACAAAATCATTTGGAGTTTCTAAACTGAGATCAAAGTATTGTCAAAATCCAATTTGTGTGTGTGTTTTTAATAGTCCATATTAAGTTAAAAATGCTTATATTTAATTTGTGTTCACAATTTAAAGTCTAATCACAACATTTCATCAACTAGATTTGGATTAGATTGGTCTTAGGTTTGATATCAGTGAAATTAGGATATAAGATTGAATTTAGGCTTTTAAAACATGACTTAAGTTCTAGCAAGTTTTTATCGTATGATTTTTTTTTTTTTTTAATTTCAACCCCATGATTAATTTGGGCTAAAGTGGCTTGTATTTTATTCGAGTTCAAAATTTGAAACTCATGCACTATATTTATCAAATAAATTTAAGTTGGACTAACTGTAAACTTAACGTGAATCATAAGTTATAGCGTAGTTAAAAAAGTTTAATTTTAATTTGAGCTTTCAAAATTAGGACCAAAGATAGTGAAATTTTCATTTGTAAGAGTTTTGAAGGGTAGAACCCGTAATAAATATCCAAATTTAATTGTACTTAAAATTTAACTATTATTTATATCGAGTGAGTTTATGTCGGATTGTATGATTGAAGCTATTTTGACACTTCTAACAAAAAAATAAATGGAGGTGAAAAAGGCTAAATGAAAAATAAAGAATGGTATATGGAAATATAAAAGAGATCTATTAATCTTCTAAATACTTAAATTATATATACTTTTTACTCATTAAAATTATAATGATAGCATTAAGATTTGAACCTTAAGTTTTTGTGCATATTATCACAAGCCTTACTAAAACGATTTTAGTGGTTAAACACTTAAATTATATAAAAAATATTTTTTAAAAAAAATTAAAATGATTTCAAATTTATTTAAAAATCATTTTAAATTTTTTCATCAAAAAAAAAATTGATTGTCAAATATAAATTTGAAAACATAAAACTAAAAATTTACGACCACCCTTGAGGTTCAAGTAACTTTAATTAAGAGTAGTGTCATCTAGTTATAATATCTTGTATTAGTTTTTCCGATTTTTTTTTATATAAATAATGTGTCAAATGAATTAAATAATTTTAATATTTTAAAAACATAAATTTTTTTATATTTTTATTTAATGAATAAGAAAATCGATATGAATTAGATATTAAAAATTAAAATTATTCTTTTATTAAATATATAATTTTATCCTCAAGTATTTTTTTTTCTTTTTTTATACATAAGAATTATAATGAATTTTCTAGGATTTGAGTTTTAGATCATGTGCATATAATCCCAACTTTCTACTACTAGATTGACCTTAATGATTCAAAGTATCTCTTTCTTTACTTGAAACACCCCAATTTTATATGAAAATAAATAAATAAATATTTAAGTTATTTTTGCTCAAACCAATAAGTGTATATAGATAACTAATTTATTTAAGTGTATATTTTATAATTTGATGAAAACTTTTGTTTATAAATATATATATATATATATATATATATATAATAGATTTAATTAGTTTTTTACAGTTCTTTCACTAATAAAAATTCACTTAATTGCACTTTTGGTTCTTCTACTTT